TGGGCCACCACCAGGGCCACCACCTGTCCTTCGGCCTCGACCACCACCGCGACCACCGGGACCACCGCGACCACCACCGGCCCCTCAAGGAGGAGCCCGGCTCCAGGGCGTGGATGCACCAGCCGTCCCAGGAGCACCCCAGGTAACTGCCTCGCTCGCTGTCAGTGACACCCCCTCTATCATCTTTGTCACACTACCTCACACATTGTCTCTCACTGAATCTCGCTGTCTCGTTGAGCCTATCGCAGGAGAAGCCTATGTGATTGCCTGTCCTATCACTGCCTTCATCATCACTGTCATTGCCTCGGGGATTGCCACTGCATCTCAGTGTCTAACGCTGATGTCTTATTGCACATGACTCTCCCATTGTCTCTCACAGCAGCGTCTATCACTGACTCACTCCATTCGTCTCTACCATTGTTTCTCACTGCACCTCAGTGTCTAACATGATCTCACCTCGCCTCTTTCTCACTGCCTCTTCCATAACTGCACCATCCGTCTAGATTCATTGTCTTTCATGCATCGCGATCTCTGTGCCCTTCTGTCCCTCACTGCATCTCGCCGTCACCGTGTTTCTCACTGTATCTCTCACCACTACCACTGTTTTCATTCGAGCAAAGAAGTATACATCTATCGCGGTCTTGAGACGGAAGTCAGAGTTTGTCGGCAGTGTAAGGGCCTCTCTTGGGGCTGCACTAACTGCAGGGCGGAACGGGAAGGGACAGGGAAGTCCCATGGGGAACGTTCGGGGGTGAGCGCGGCCCGTCCGTCTGTCCAACTGTCTGTCTGTCTGTCCAACGGCCTCACTGTCTGTCTTTGTGTCTGTCTCGTGGTAAATATACCTTCCTGTGCAATGCTGAGGGACCAATGCTGCCAGTCAATTCATAGGAGTGTCGTGCCGTCGCGACGGTCGTGCCCGTTCTGTGACGCAATGGAGAATAGCGAATGCAAATATAGAATGCATCCAGCACGAATCAATTATAAATGCCAGCCTAAGACAATAGTAACTAGAGGAGTCTAATCCTTGCCGGCGAGGACAGCAAGTTCAGCCTGCCGACAAGGGAAGAAAAGAAGAGAGAGGGGGAAAAGGAGAGAGAGAGAGAGAGAGAGAGAGAGAGAGAGAGAGGGTGGGGTAGCCCTGTGGCCAAGCTGGGAAAGGCCCCCCGACATTCATAGGGTATACCCCGCATCATGCCCGCATGCAATTCACACGATTTGGATGGTGCTGAATACTTAATGGGAACCAATTTTCGGCCAGGGAAATCGAATTGGAGAGCCAATATCGATTACTATATGCTGATAACTTATAGATGCAAAATTGGGGAGCAAGTTTCAACCTGGAAACAGGCCACGCATCGCTTTTCTTTTCATCCCTCTATATATTTCTTGATGTTCACCCTCTGCATCCTGCCTTTCACCCTCTTCACACTAATAAAAGCGAAAGGGTGAATTATCTCAATAAGCTACGGCGAATGTCACTGTATAAGTTACTGTGGTGCAGGGTTCACAGTAATTTACATTATAATTCACCATAAGATTTCAACAGTGCACCCCCTCCTCCCTCCAAAGCGGATGGCCCGGGATGGCCTCTTGCTGCCGGTAGTCTTCTGGTGAGTCGGGGCGAAGCGCCGCTTCGCCGGTGTGACTTGAAAACATGTTATTGTAGCGGCGCTCCGCGTTTCGCGCCGTGGTCCCTCTACCGGCTGCTCGCCGTGACCGAAGCCTCGCCTGAGCGACTTCCCACCCCAGCGCCCACGAGGTGGCGGCGTGGGAGGTTGCAAGTACACGCAAAATGTTTTTTTTGTTTTTGTAAATTTAGCAAAAGGTTTACTGCTAAATTTACCAAGGCCCACTTCTGGTTTAGCATACACACTAGTTTCCGTTAATGTGGTTTTGTCGGCAGCTGACAATTTGTACAATAAATTTGCACGAAAAAAATTCTGATTTGTGTCTCTCACCGCCTTTTAATAGAGTCCAAAAGTTCAGAAATGACGTGCGTTTACGATGTTTGCACGATGATAGGACACGATTAAAATGCACTGATTACGATGTTGTATGTTTAATCTTGTGTCACTATTATTATACAATGTTTTGAACCATGAGTGTTTGCCAAGTTGTCACTACCCGTCACAATGCTTTAAAACAGTTAGTGTCTCAACAAAAAAAAATGTGCTTTTAAAAAAACGAAGGCTTATAAAAAATATGTTTGAACATGTCCGATGTATTTTGTAATTTACCATTTACAAAACGTGGCGCACATGTACAACTCTTGCTCGTTATTCGGTTCCAAGTCTATACGCATGCTGCTTGTAAATTGACAATTTTGAATTGTAATTGTGCGACATCTTCCATGGAAAAGTTTCCTGTACCCGGTACGACAATAATTTTTCACCGTGCACACAAAACGAATCGGACCTTCTTAAATCGACAAAACCGAGATCGACCGAAATTTAAATCACTTTAAAACTGATTTGAACCTGTGCGTCACAACCCCCCAGGAAGCCGTGGGGCTCGTCGCTGTTAATTTACAGGCTCGTTTCCGCCCGACGCGCTCCAATCTGCCACCGCTGATAAAATGGCAGCCGCTCATCGCGCAGACGCCCCCGGGCGAGAGGCGGTAGATATGAAAGTGTTGAAGGTTCTCGCCGCTCCTCTCCCTCCCCTCTCCACTCTCCTCCCCTCCTGCCCACCCCACCTCTGACCTGCCTTATTCACACCGACGCGTCTGTGAGGACTTGCAGAGCAAAAACTCCACGTACTGGCGTGCAAGGCGAGCAAGTTTGTAAAGTGGTTTTTTTAACCTGGGCCTCCATGAAGGGTCTTAAAATAAGAGAATCTGAGAGAAAGAAGGGGGGGCTCGGCTATTACACAGCTGCGCGACCAGAGCGCGGAGTCGCTGCAAAAAAATAGGACGAGAGGGCGTGTGTGCAAGAGTGTGGTGGAGGAGGGGGGAGGTAGAGAGAGAGAGCGAGCGACCGAGAGAGAGCGAGCGACCGAGAGAGAGAGAGAGAGAGAGAGAGGGAGAGAGAGGGAGGGGGGAGGGGGGGATCGGCGAGTCAATAGGTACCCGCGAGGTGTCGTAGAAGTGAAGCGGCTTGTGTGCAGAGCGGACTTACTCGCCCTGCTGTAACGTCCACGAGCAAAAAAGGGAAAAAGCAGGGGAGGGGGTGCTCTTTGCTCATGGGGGCTCACTGTGATCGATGCAGTAGGTCCACCCTGTCGCCGTACTACGTCTAGCGACTGAGGGATTAATTCGGAAAGTATTCGTCTGTTCCTTTCAGATTTATTTAGGAAATAACGGCAGCTCGGCGCCTGCGAGACTCGGGGTAGGCCACTCTGCAGTACACCTATGCACAGCACGCAAGAAAGTGCCTACCCATCAGGCGCTACGAGAACTTGAACAGGAACCTGAACTAAGAACTTGGCAGTTTCAAAACGGCGAACGACGGGCCTTCACTGTAAATCCGGGATGTCCAGCAACTGTGCGACAAAAGGTGCCCGACTCTAAAACCTGTGCAACTTAAGTCGCACAGCTGCTGGACGCCTTGTAGTTTGGCGCCCTTTCCCTGCAGAGGGGCGCAAGCAGGGGGTGTCCAACAACAAGACACCCTACCTAGGCTTGGCCTGGACCCTTGTGCAGGGAAAAGGGTGCCAAACCAAAATGTGTCCAGCAGCTGTGCGACTTAAGTTGCGCAGGTTTTAGCGTCGGGCACCTTTTGTCGCACAGTCGCTGGACACCCCGGATTTACAGTGTACTTTCTGGATGATTCCCAGAGGGAAGGGCAAACTGTGAGGGTGGTGGGTGAGGACTTGCTTCGCACGCTCATGTAGAGCACCGCAGCGTCTCCTCGAGCTTCTCACCTCGCCGTTCAGAAAGCAGTAAAGGCAGGCGATGAAGAGACCCTGGAAGGAGGTGAGGAAGTGCGTGGCGTAGAACCAGATGGTAAGCTCCCAGGCGCTGCTGCGCATCGGCGCCGGCATCATGTTGGTCAGGTTCGTGATGCCCAGGAGCGGCAGCAGCACCAACGCAGCGCGCACCGCCTTCCTAAAGTGACGAGAGAGGGGAGCAGTTTAATGAGAGGAACGAAGTAGAGGTCGGTAGGCAGATTGGTGACAAACTAGATTACTCGGCACGAACTAACAAATATACCGCAAGAGAGAGTTACGGTGGGTGTTTCTGTATTGTGCACGTACCTCACTTGCTCCATCTCACTAGTTCTGCTCTGGCGTAGCTTCACCACCAGGACCCGAATAATATTAAGTAGAAATAAAAAATTGAGCTGCGCATAACCAAAAGAAGGACGGGGTATTAGTGGACTTAACTGGCAATAGGTTAGGCCGGCCGTACACAAAAAAGTTATAGGTACTTAAGGGTACAACTTGTAATTTTTCAGATAGAAAATTACATCCAATCGAGATGTGCTTAAGAACACATTTTAGCTTACTATCAGACGCAGCGGGTGCATGGGCTATACCTACCACAATAACCCCCATACGGGGCCCCTCGAGGATCCAGAAGTACACCCTGAGGTTGTAGTTCCGGAAGCACTCCTCCTTCAGCTTAATCGCCGTGGTGACGGCCCAGCAGGTGGTCATGATGGCCGGGACGCCCCAGCCGATGAGCGTGTAGAGCGAGTAGTAGAACGCCTCCTGGAACACGGTCACTGGCGAACGCGCAGTGGAACAGGGCCTCAGACACTGCTGCGGTGAGCGGGCGGTTCGCAGGGGGCCGCAGCCGCAAAGAGGCTCCAGTTCCAGGTAAAGCGTAGTATCAAGCGCGGCTCGCGCTGGCCTCTTTCTTTTTCACGGCGCGGCGGAGCCCAAGGAGGGTAATTCACTTAGTCTGGGAAGCTTTCAGAAACAGCCACTGACGCCGCGGCCACGCTCGCGCAGCTGATAAGGCCCGGGGCGGCCTCCCGGCTACTTCTGCCCTCCCCCCCCCCACTCCTCCCTCTTATACGCCGGCTCTCTCCGTCGCGCGGCTTTACATTACTTTATTTCCTATTGGACCAGGAAATATACTAACAAGAGTTCATCAGAGCTCGACTGGAGGGGGCTATATAGCAATTTTGAGTTTAATGCCTCTGTCAAGGCACCGAATACACTGTAATTAATTTTAAAGGCGTACCGGGAGAGTGCGACAGAGGTGTATGCTACAGAAAACAGTGTGACTTAAGTCGCAGTCTGGGCATACAACTTTGTCGCACTGCCACCATACACAATTTGTATGCAAAATATGCCGGACAAAAAATGCCCCTAAACCCCCTGAGCGGGTGCTTGGCCTGCATACACCTTGGGAGCGCACTTCATGGGCCTGGAGCCCACGGCTCACAGCTCCCTCAAACCGTGTAATATTTTACCCAGCACAAGGTGTATGGAGGCCAAACACCTGCCCAGGGGGCTTGGCAGGGGCTTAGGGCTTGGCTTAGGGGCTGTCCGGCATATTATGCATACAAATTGTATATGGTGGCACTGCGACAAAGGTGTATGCCCAGACTGCGACTTAAGTCGTATTGTTTTCTGTAGCATACACCTTTGTCGCACTCTCCCGGTACGCCTTTGAAATTACAGTATAGCCGTTAAGGTTCTAACAATTAGTGCCATTAGCCATTTAAGTGCATTAAACTCATGGCACTTTTTTAAAGGCGCGCACAAGGCGATGACTTATGCAAGTTACAGTCCCCGATTTTTTTCCATACCTGTGGGGTGACCTATACCAAACGATTGCCAAGGAAAAATTGTATCCATTTTACAGGGTAAATCCATTTTCTCTAAAGATGACTAAAACTCAAAATTCGTCTCTATACAAACTAGATCAGTTTTGGATTTGTAATCATTTCTTGAGAAAATGGATTATGGGCACGAATCGTGTGGTATACGGCCACCACAGATCCGGTACGATGGAACAAAAGTCGGGGACTGACACTGCATGAGTACCCTTGTTAACATTTTTACTTTTTCAGTGTAGGCCTAGTGGAAAGTAAAGAAATACCTTCATAATGAAATTTGAAAAGAGGCCTGGTTTGAACTCACCCGTTACCATATTGTGGAGGTACAGGCCCTCGATAAACATCCATAGGAACATGGCCGTCCTTGCGTACTCCATCAGAACGTAGGAGGCCTCGCAGAGAACGGGCTGCAACACAGAGGCAGGATCACGTCAGCAAACGAGGGCGAGAGAGATTGCTTTATTTTTCTACTGAACTACAACTTTGCTGAACACAAAGAGTTTATTTATACAAACCATGGTCAATATATTCTTGAAACTCATAAAAAGAGTTCTGAATTATAAAAATATATTTTATATCAACACATTTATAAATTTGATTGGTGACGTCAAGAACTGCATTAACAGTGGTCTCCTGTTTTATAAATCCAAGGATTCAGAAATTATATTGAAATAATTGCTTTGCGCGCGCGAATAGTGATAGTATATAGTCCAGCCTGCCGACTATGGCGGCTAGAAGCGATGGCTAGAAATAGTAGCTGGAAATAGCTCCGGCCTCAAGCCTCTCCGCGATCGGAGACTGGTCCATTAATTGATCTGGGAGGGGGAGGGCCCGGCTCGGTGCCACTTACACAGGCGGACAGGCGACAAGAGCACGATCGTGCGCGTGGCGGTCAGGGGCGGCGAGGGGGCCCCTGCCCCTCCCCCCTCCCCCGGGGCCTCAGGAAGGGCGAGGGGAGGTGCGACCGCGCCCGCGTGCTTAAGGCACGCGTGGAAGAGAGGAGGGGGTGGAGGGGCGAGGAGGAGGCACCCCATACCAACGGCCCCCCAGCCCGGGGCTCTGCAAGGTTGGACTAATTTGAAAACGCTGACACAAGCCCATCAGGAAATGAAGAGTCTTCGTAGAGTGGCAGAAAGTGAATGGGGATGGGGTGTGGGGTGTGGGCCGGGCTCCGGGCCGGGCTGGGGCTGTGAGCACGACTCTCGGGCGGCGCGGCGGTGGCGCATCCCTCCGCCACTCCACCGGCGGGGACCGGCGGGGGGACCCCTCCTCCTCCATTATTCTCGCTCAAGTGCGGAGGGAGGTGGCGCAGGGGCGGAGTAAGCTCCGACCAAAAGACCAGAGAGGCGGGGCGGGGCGTGGTGGGCCGCACGCGGCTGCAGCCGGCTGCTTTGTGCGCCAGTCCCACGATACGGGCGGAGGAGGGGGTGTGCAGCGCGCGCTGTGTGAGGAGGCCAAGGGCAGCAGCAGCAACAGGACTGCGCCTGGCCCGACTGGAGGAGGGCGCGGGCAACCTGTCCGTCCGACGGCTCGCGCGCGGGGGATAGCACAGGAGGAGCGCCGCGGCGTGTGTTTCCCACCCCCTCCCCAGCCCGAGCCCAAGCCAGCAGCGCACCGCCGCCCTAACGATTCCTGCGTTGATTGCCCTTATTTTGCGACTTGGCGCGGATCAAACAGA